GGTTCAGGGTTTAGGGTCTAGGGTGTGGGATCTCACTACAAGGGTCCAGGAGCCTTAGTACTGAACGGGAGCCTAGATGACTGGAATAGGGCTTCGGGTAACGGTTTAGGGTTTAGGGTTTAGGGTTTAGGGTTTAGTAACATACAAATTCCGGCTTTCAGGCACTATACGGGGCTATCTTGGAAATTGGTTGGGACTTCTTCACACTACGACTGGCACTTCGAATTAAAGAGAGGGGAGGCTAACGTCAAAAGCAAACCCTAAAGGAGACCCTACTACAGAACCCTGTAGTACCCTTAAAGGGGGCCCTATTATAGAACCCTGTAGTACCCTTGGAGAGGACCCGACTGTAGAAGCCTATAAGTACCCTTAAAGGAGACCCTATGATGGACCCCTGAAATGGCTTTGCTGCCGCCGAAGGCAGGTGTAGGACGCTGATGGGGCTTAGGGTTGGAGGTTTAGGGTTTAGGGTTTGGGGTTTAGGGTTTGAGGTTTAGGGTTCGTATAGGTTTTCATGCATTCCAAATTGGTCATGGAAAGAAACTTGGATGGGTTGCAGCCATGCTGGACGCTGAAAACCGGAACACCCCAAAAACCTAACCCCTAAACCCTAAACCCTAAAAACCTAATCGTTAAACCCTTAAGCCATGGAGCATCAAAGCCACCAACCCTCAAACCCTGCAGCCGTGAACTCCCTCTCTGGTCCTTAAGGACGAAATGACCCCCTAGGAGGGATTAGGGTTCATATACCATATAGGGATTCATAGTATAAGGGTGTACCTAGACTCCCCAACTACCCTCGCATATACCCTAAATACCCACTATTAAGGACCATAAGGGCTCTATTAAAGGGTCCTTGGGGGGTCCTGGCAGGGCCCCGACTTCTAAGGTCATTTCGTCTTTAAGGGTCTCGGCCGGGATGCCCAATGCGCCGTGGCTTCCTCTGCTTCGTTGCCTGCTTCCTGCATGGGTTTAGGGTTTAGGGTTTAGGGTGTAGGGTTTAGGGTTTAGGGTTTAGGGATGCACAAAGCCGAAACATCCCTTGCCTCCCTGAATTTAAGGCGTAGAAATTGCAAGACCTTCTATCCAAGTGCTTGAAAAGATCGACATACGGAAAGGGTCCAAAAGTACCTACGTAGTAGAAAGTAGGGTTTCTACTCATACTTGTGGGTACGTGCGCTGAGTTCGGACGTGGCGGCCGCAGAATTCCATACCCGAGGTAGCTCGGGTGGGTCGTGCAGCGTGCTGCTCTTAGAAAAACTTTGGACCACAAGCTGAAGCAGCTGCGGATGCTGTCACCGTGTACTGTGTCTACAGTCTGCTGAATAATTGTGGATCCTACGCAACATACCGCCATGCCAGACTCCTTGAAAATCAAACCCTCCGCCTTATCAACACTTCCCCCTAAACCCTGAACCCTCAGCGCTAAATCCCTCGCCTATAACCCTTGGCATCAAAATAGCCCAAAAGCCTTCTATAATAGGGTCTTTGGGCCCAAAAGCCTTAAAATAGGAGTCCTTTGAGGGTAAGGGTAACTAAACCCATCAACCCTCAAGCGCCGAAATCCTCAAGACTTCCTCGACAGCTACTTACCCAAAGGATCCAAAGCACCTATATACCAGAATGTAGGGCTTCTATATTAGGATTCCTTATATTCTGATTTGAAAGAGTAGCCCCCCGTAAAAACCCTAAACCCTAAACCCTAAAACCCTAAACCCTAAACCCTAAAAGTACCTAGGACCTTCTGGCTTGAGGCTCCCACGGAGCTCGACGAGTCCCCGCTGACCTGTCGGCGGATCGCCCATTGCATCTTACTCAAAAGCGGTTTCGGGATAGAGTTTAGGGTTTAGGGTTTACGGTTTAAGGTTTAGGGTTTTGGGATAGGGTTTAGGGTTTAGGGTTTGGGGTTTAGGGTTTGGGGTTTGTTGTTTAGGGTAGGTCCCTTTGGGGAACCCTATGTAAGTCTACTCTGAATACGGCACCCGATCGGAACCCAAGAGAGGTGTTGGGCTTTAAGTGCAGGGTTCGGGATGAGTCACGTTCAACAGGCACACCGCTCACTGTTACGTGTACCAACATCACCACCACAACGAGGATCAGCGCAACTGCCACTGACACTGCATCTGCTGCTGCTGCTTCTGCTGCTTCTGCTGCTGCTTACTCCTCCTCCTCCTCCTGCTCCTGCTCCTGCTCCTGCTCCTGCTCCTGCTCCTGCTCCTGCTCCTGCTCCTGCTCCTGCTCCTGCTCCTCGTCCTCCTCCTACTACTACTACGACTACTACTACTACTACTACTACTACTACTACTACTACTAACTGCTGCTGCTGCTGCTGCTGCTACTACTACTACTACTACTGCTACTACTACTACTACTACTACTACTACTACTACTAGTTCTACTACTACTTCGACTACTACGACTACTACTACTACTACTACTACTACTACTACCACTACTACTTCTTCTTCTGCGACTACTACGACGACTACTACTACTACTACTACTACTACTGCTACTGCTACTGCTCCTGCTCCTGCTCCGCTACTGCTACTGGTACTGGTACTGGTACTGCTACTACTACTACTACTACTACTACTACTGCCGCCGCTGCTGCTGCTGCTAGTGCTTTTGCTACTACTGCTGTTGCTGGTGCTTCTGCTACTGCCACGACCAGTACCACGACTGCTGCCTCGACGACTGGACATGGACAGCGACGACGACGGCGCGACGGCTCGGTGTCGTCAATGTGTCGTCGAAGCTCAACACCAAGCTCAAAATGGGGACCTGTGCGTTTTGACTTTTTCGATCGGCCCCGAAGCTTGCGATCTTTTCTGAGCAAGATTCGAGCCAAGGTGGAAATGCCATTGGGTACTTTGAGGTGCCGTGCGGTCATTCAGTCTACAGACATCGAGGGTGCATCGTGACATCCAAAGTCCAAGAAAGCATGAGCCGACAGCTGTTTTTGCTCGAGCACCAGTAGCCGCGTCTACATTTTATACTTTGGCAGGTGGACACCGAGATCGTCCGAGGCATCTCACTACGCCAGACACTTCGACAGGCGGTGTTTGCAGTGTAGAAGGGCTCTGGTTGAAATCGTCGTCCCACCCTCACAGCTTTCAGCTGGTTTGCCGCTGAGTTTGGACCTCTCACGCCCAAGCCACGAATCCTGGTTGTCATCCCCATAGAGCCCTTTGGGGTGCTCGGCTGCCGCGGTCCTGCGCGCAGGAATATAGCCTTGCTGCCGTCACAAGCGCATCTCATATTCTCATATCTAAGACCTCAACCACGGTCACGAACTTCCCTCGCACCTCGCAGGCCAATGCAATCTGGCTCCGGCCGCCGGCCACACTGCCAGAGGCCGTACGCGGATACATGCATACATACCGAAACGTACGTACATGCATTCCGGTTGTTAAGTGTTTTTGGCGGGTCGCGCTGCGCTCCCTGTAGGGATCTGTAGGACCTTTGCGGGTGTATTTTTTTAAAGAATATATATATATATATATATATATTACATATTACTTGAAGGATTAAAGTTATATATATATATATATAATATATATATATAATTATATATATATGCACACGAATACATACATCGGGTGTATGTTCCCGAGCAGCCTGGACAGCAAGCTTTGGAATCGGAAGCCTCCTGATTCAAGCTCCGGCCGGAGGAAGAGAGAGCGAAGCTCTACGAAAGGCCGGGAGAGGTACATTCTGATGCTGAACCTAGTAGTACCTACCACTACTGCTACCGATACCACCACTACCACCACTACTACCACTAGACTACGACGACGACTCCCACTGCCAAGGCCACTGACCACCAACACCACTACGACTACCACTACCACTACTGCTAATTCTTCTTGTGCCATGCATTTGGGGTAACCTGCTGATGGTCCAAACGATTCCCGAAACGATACACTGAGGATACTACATTCAACTGAACATGTGTCACGGATATAGCTAAGTAATGTGTCGACAGTCCTGTGGGCTAAACTCAACAGCGATACCTACTATCCAGAGACCCTTCGGGCAGCCGTAATATTGCAAACGGTTCACACTTTGATGCTGATTTTATTGGCCAACTCGTTTGCCTCAGGTGTTTGTTTTGTCATGTGCGCTTATTCCACAGGCTGGTGGCTTGCAGATCTGTCGAAAGTCGAGACCAGGGTTCCTAACCAGACAGTTCCGCGGGGCCGGGCCCGCTGCTCTTGAACGCCATCGAGCTCGAGGCGACATCCGTGGGTGTACCAAGCCATGTCACATCTGCGTTGATACATCCAGGCTGGGGCCTGTGTAGCAAGGCGCGGCGCATTGCAGAGCCGGCGTTGATGCACGGTCCGTGGCCTCCTTGCAAGCCCCGCCTGGAGGTCCCGTCCGGTGCAGCATTTCGACATCTTCCTCTCCCACACCTGGAGCACAGATGGAAAGTGGAAGGCAGGAGTCGGACGTCCGAGTCCGTCGGAGTCCGGAGACTTGCAGAGTCCTTTTTTGTTGCGGCGTTTCTCCTCCCGCACAGCTGCCTGTACTCTCTCATCTCTCTCGGGTTCCTCAGAGGTTTGAGTCTCAGATATTAATTTCTCCGAGTTGATGTCGCCTTGTGCTCGACAACTGCATGCATGTGTTGTTTCTGAATGCTGGGGTTTTGGTACCTTTGTCTGGGCCAAGATGGAAGTCAAAATGTTGAGATTCCAGGGCGCTACAGAATAGCTGCGGTTGATTGGGGTTGTTGTAAATGAAGACCCTCGGTCCGCGTTGTCATTTGTGCTGCGAAGTGAGGATTCAGTCAGGGAGGGAGAGTCACAAGCATTTGCTTCTTCTGCTCTTCAAGGCCTTTGCTCTTCTCTTCCGCACGGGCTGGCCTGTCATGCTGCTCCTCAACGCTCTGTCGGTGTGCCTGACCATGATGCCACTGAGCTTCAACTAGAGGCTCGACTCCGTCATGTCAGAATTTGGTGTGGCACGGCCTGACCTTGCGAGAAGTTTCTCCTGGCTCATCCGCTCGTGAACAGAAGATAGTGCTTCAAGAGTATGTTGGTGAAAGAGTCAGTTGAGTCAGTTTCCATAAAGAGCCTCCGTCTTGAGCATGCTCAGCCCATGCCCAGTTCCAGAATCGGAACTCCTGGCCCAGGCTGTGCGTGACCCGATTGCTCCCCATGACTTTCGACTACGAGCTGCCGGGACCAAAATCAACACGCGCATGGCGGTCAGTGCTGAGCGTGGTGAGGCAAGTACAGACTCTATTCCTTTGGATACATTTCTCTAAGTACATACGAGAAAAATCCTGTTTGACGTGAATGTGGAGGCCTTCTGAGGCCTTTGGATACTGGAGTGTTATAGTTTTTGACTTAGCTTGGGCAGCTGCAGATAGCTCCCGCCAGGCTGTCCAAACCAAATGCGACAAGGGGAGAAGACATCCGACACGGGTGAGATAGCTTGGCACTAGTTCAACTTGTCCCATCCCCCTACCCCCTCACCCCCCCTTCCCCAAAAAACAAAGACTGTGAGGAACGCAGGAGTAGCGAATGGGCGGGCTTTTCGCACCCTCCTCGATAACTTGAATCATGGCTGCCATCAGTTCCGTGCAGCTGATCACCCTTGGTAACACAAGCCTTCAAAAGAACCCTCAACTCTTCTGTCTGTTGTTGCTACCGGAACACCGGCTTTGCAGCAAGGCCACCCGTTGTTGACTTCACCGGAAGCAGCAAGCTCGGAGGCTGGCTGTGCCGTGGCACGAAGATGGCGAAGGGCGCAGGCAGAAGGTCGAGGGTTTTGTGATGTGGCGGCCACTGGCAGACAGACGATTGTAGAGTAGAACTTCGCCGTGACCACCCAGGATTCCGGCGAGCATGCTCGGCTCTGTCCTCGGCCTTGCGCTCTCCCCGCGCTTCGACAGAACGGAGCACACCAGAATCTCTTGGCCGCGCTGTTTTTGGAATCCTGAACTCCCAAATGCGCTGCCCAAGAGCCCCGTGTTGAACATCTGTGAAGTATCCTTCAAACAAAAAGTATCACTTGTTGTCAAGGCACTAGTATGTTTGCTGAAGAGTTGTACGCGCGAAGCAGCTTGAAGACGTCGAAGGACAAGAAGCAGAGGGATTTGCGATTGGTGCGGGAAGGGGGCAAGCAGGTCCGCTCCTTCCAACACCTAGCACGGCCGAAGCCAAGTCAAGCCGCGGCGGTTGTCAGGTTTGTCACATTCAGTTGCCCCCCCCTCATATTGACACGTACAGGTCGTGTTCCGCTAAGTTGTACTCTTTCACTCGTTAGTTCATTGATTCTGTACGGACATGGTCACTAGGACAAAAGTTCTAGGCACGATCGTCGTTGTTTGTTAAAGTGTTTGTCACAATCTTAACAGCACCTTTGGTGACTGTTGCCTTCCGTTGCCTTCCTGTACAGCCATGTATAGCCAGGCTTGTCTATGTAAGGCCATGCGGCCCCTTGCTTCACGATTCACCTGAAGCCTTACAAACCCACACTCTTGAGGCTTTTGTGTAACTTGAGTCAGTGTTACAAGGTAGGCTTGCCTTTGTGTGGGCACAGGAGAGATCTTGTGGGATAGGACCGGATTCTCAGTTTGGATTCTGACATGGGCTGTTGCTTGATCCGTGGTCGGGTTCATGATGCTTGTCGCGGCCCCAGGTTCTTGCCCTCCAGCACGGGAAACTCCTGCTTTCTGGACGTTGCCACCTGGGCTTTCATTCGAAGTCGACTCGAAGTGTTGGCATGCGTTCGCTTCGGCCTCTCATGCCGTTTGCGAGCCAGTGGTCGCGTAGGTTTGAACGCTAGGCTTAGTGCAAGCTCCCAGTGGGGTGTAAGTAATTTAGCTGAGCGTCTAAATCAGGTTTCTCGGTCTGTTTGGCAGCTGTGAGCTTGCAGGGGATCTTTCTCTGACTTGGTGCAGTATGCTGTAGCACTGTTCCTGCGTCGGGAAGCCGTTGCAGATCGAGGTCAGCGTGCATCAATCGGACCAGCAGCTGAACGAGCGGGGAATATACGGAGACCTGGCAACATGGTTCCTAATGTGATCGCGATGGCTCAGGTGGTTGTTTGCGGGTTACTTTCCATGCCTCGAAGCAATCCAAGTCCGTTTAGGACCTCGTCTCTGGTTACCGGACTATCAAGCTGATGGGAAAGAGAAGACACACCAGAAAATTAGCAAACTTGCCATAAGGTCCTGATCAGCGTTATAAAATTCCTATAAAACGAACCACAAAACCTGATGTGAAATATGCATATGTGAAAGTACCCTGTCTGTACGACCCCGAAATAGGCGACCGTGTTGACTTTCGTCAGGTAGGATCACTACTCGCAGGTGCCTGTGTAGGAAACGTCTTCGCACTTGCATGTTTAGGACCCAATGATGTCTGTACCTGACTGCAGACGTCTTAAAGAGTTCAATGCGAAAATCGGTTCACTTGTCCACACTGTTGACTCCGCAAGCTGGCATCCGACTCGAATGGGTAGCGGAGCCAGCGGAGCACAGTGTTGTTTCAGCGTGTCTAGAAGGTAAGCTGTTGCAGAGTAGCGCCCCCCTACAGTTCGTTTCAGGGTAGTTTGGATTGAGCCCGTGAGCGTCGCTGGATTGAAGTGCCAGGCGTCCCAATGGGGTCACGATGCAGCGCCGGCAGAGACCAAGTCTGGATCGTATATCTACACCGGCATTGTGCCTCAGCCTATCATGACTGGGAGTTCAGAACACGCAGAGTTCAGAACACGTATACGCATGTTACAGCACAAAGAGAAGCAAAGGCGCGAAGTCCCAAAGGACCTGCGCGGAGCAGCATTTGCCCGAAGCCAATCAATCGCCGGGGAAGAAGGGCAAAGGTTTGGGCAAAAATATTCGCAGTTTTCGGCTTAGGTCCGAGCAGAACATAACAGATGCAGATCCTCCCGCCGAGGAAGAGTCAGGTGCAACTAGCGGAATACCCGCAAGACGCTCGACGGGCGAAGCCTGCGTCCGTTGCAAGCGAGGACGAAGGAGATGTTGACTTTGACGACGTAGACATGTCGGAATGCGTCTCGAAGATTCTGGATGTGGTGATCCGATGCCAAAACACGGGGCTTAAGCTGCAGCAGAAAGGATGACCACGGCGAGCTGACACTCACAATAGGCGCCAAGCAACGCGTGCGCAAAAAAATCGAAGCTCTCCATACTGCAGCATTTCTACCGGCCTTCAAATTGCGTAGATCTTTTCGTTTCTTTGGGGGACTGAGCATGCCTTGACACACCCTAGAAACCCTAAGCCTCTTAACCCTAAACTTCTAAAGCGTAAACCCGGAACCCCTTGACCCTAAACCCCTAAACGGCAAACGCTTAAAGAGAACGCCCCGCCGGGTATTCTTATGCTCGAGATCCCTGCTCCCAATTCAGGACCTCCAAGACCCTGAAGCCGCCAGCCAGTTCAGGGCTCTTTATGGTTTAGGGTTCGGGGTTCTGTATGGTTTAGGGTTTGGTTTCTTTGTATGGCTTTCAGTACAAGGTTCTTTGTGGTTTAGGGTTTAAGGTTCTTTATGCTTATAGGGTTTAATGATTTTTATGGTTTAGGGTTCAGGCTTCTTTATCGTTTACAGTTTAACACTCATATATATTCGGGCACGCATTGAATACACAGTCCGATCCCTATATTATACTGCTCGTGAACTTCATTGCAGTTTAGGATTTATAGTGTGCGGGCTCACCATAGGTGAGGGTTTGCGGCAGAGTTCGACATTTCTGTCCAAACCCCGGCAGTCCTGTTAATGATTAAGGGTTCCGGGCTTGGGGTCGCAACCTCTACAGCAAGTACGTTTCGTACGCTCAGACTGCCCGGAACTATTTGCCTTCCTCTGTGCCCGAAGACTACTGTCTCCTCCCTCCCGGCCGCAAGCAAGGCACGTTTCGTATGTTCAGACCGCCCGGCACTATTTTCCTGCCTCGGTGCACTCCCGAAGACTACCTTGTAATTGCCGAAGCACATGTGCCTCGGCAATTACAGTTACAGTAGTGGCGGCGCACTGTCTCCTCCTTCCCGGCCGCAAAGCCATGTTTCGGCCATTTGTTTCTTCCTCGGTGCCCCTAAATGCGTTTTGGGAGGCTACTTTCGTACGCTCAGACTGCGAAGACTATTTTACCGAGGCACACAAAGTTACAGCAGTGACGGCACCCGCCGAAGACTATGTTTCTACTTGGTTATGAAAATGCCGGACTGCAAGCTAAGTGCGTTTTGGAAGGCATTGAAAATGCAGTTTTGGACGGCGTGAAACTGCTCTGTTTCGTCCCCCCTGTGCACAAAGCAAGAAACGTTGTGTACGATTTTCTTTCTTCAAATGGCCCCTGGATGCATGTCGGAAGGCATCGAGAACGCGCTGCAAAAGAAGGCACGTTTCGTATGCTCAGACTGCCCGGCACAATTTTCCTGCCTCGGTGCACTCGCCGAAAGCGTATATTTTTCAATTGCCGAGGAACAAAAAGTTACAGTAGTGGCGGCACACTGATACCGCTTTCCCGGCCGCAAAGCAAAGCACGTTTCCTACCTTCAGACTGCACGGCGCTTTCTTCCTTCCTCGGTGTGCTCCGCGATGGTGCGCCCGCCGAAAATTACATGTTTACTGCCGAGGCACAAAAAGTGACAGTATTGATGGCACACTGTCTCCTCCCTCCCGCCCGCAAAGCTAGGTACGTTTAGTGCGCTCAGACTGCACGCCGCTATTTACCTTCCTCAGTGCGCTCCGCAAACATACTTTTAATTGTCGATGCCAAAAGTTATAGTACTGCTCACACATCCCTTATGTTTCCGCGACGCCGGTCCGCAAATCTAGTCACCGACCTTGGCCTTACCAGATTGCAATCCCCAAGGGTACCCGCTGTTGGGGAATGAAAATGCATGCCAACCATCAGGTAGCGTAGCAATATGGTATCCAGGCGCGCTTGGAATTGCATGGGCTGCTGCTTGTGCATGCGGTCCTCAAGAAACTGCTTCTGATAGTACAACATAACAAGTTGGAACGTAACAAACGCGACCATGTGGATATGGTTTCATAACATATACAAATGTAAGAGAAAAGAGTCGACCCAAGCAATCGCGAATGTTACGCAGGATGTCCATGGGAATTTGATGCTGTGGGAAAGCCATACTATCAGCAATATTGGACCCCAACAAATTGGAAAGAAAGTCTGCGAATAAATCCGAACAAAAACAGGCACCAAGATGCTCGGCTTCAAGGCAGCTCCAGCAGAGCCATGAGACAAGACATAGCAGAACCAAAAAACCAAAACCAAAATAGCAAAAAGAAACAGAACAAAAAAACAAAAAAAAAACAAGACCAACAAAAACAAAGCAACAAAACCAAAAATCCAAAAAAAACAATATTCCAGAACTCTTCCATAAGTGCGCATACTTGCCAAGAGTTTCGAAACATTGTTTTGGTTTGTTTTTTGGTTTTGTTTTTTGGTTTTGATTCTTATTCCGGAACGCCCTTGGGAGACATAGTGCAAGCAGTGCTTCCTGAGGGTCGTACCTGCAAGTCAGAAGAGGCCCAAAACGCTGGGCACGCGATCAGGCCTAAAGCCGTATCATAATATGTTGTATTATATCATATCCTGTCATAGTATAGTTTGGACAGTATAGTAGGTATCGTTCAGTGTCGTATAGTATAGTATGGTATAATGTGGTACAGCATAGTATAGTGTGGTATAGTACAGTATAGTATAGTATAGTATAGTATAGTATAGTATAGTATAGTATAGTATAGCATGGTACAGTAAAGTATATAGTATATATATATATATGTCTAGTGTATAAGTATAGTGTGTATATATATAGTATATATATATATATAGTATATATATAGTATATATATATAGTATATATATATAGTATATATATATATAGTATATATATAGAGTATATATAGATATAGTATAGATATAGTATAGATATAGCATAGATATAGTATAGATATAGTATAGATATAGTATAGATATAGTATAGATACAGTATATATATATATAGTATATATATAGTATATATATATATATATAGTATATATATATATAGTATATATAGATATATATATATATATACATAGTATATATA